AAATGTTCCGCAATATGCTTCTGCAATCGTTGAACGGCATTACCAAATCAGTGGACATTGTGAGGAGACCTGGTACGGACGACTACAACTGTAACAGCTTGCCTTTCGCTTACTGAAACACTTGGGGTCGAGATGCAAAACATACTTGGACAGAAATCAGTGTTAATCTGTACTTGTACCTGTACACCCATCGCTCTACTTCTATGCAAAACTAGTATTGGATTAACTTTAGCCTACTAACCATTTTATGTCCTCATCAGCAATTACTACTAGCATTCAGACTCCAGCCTCTCTCTATCTGACACAAACATACATGGGCCAGAAACCACCGTCTGCATCTCTTTCCTAGCTAAAATAATGTCATGTAGCTATTATTCGCAGTGCATAACTTTTGGAAAAAGTCAAATGAGAGAAAGAGCATACTCTTCTGGTGAGGGTGCATCCTCCAAATTTTCTGTGTGGTCCGGTTCTGGTTTTAGTTCGATCGGGGATGAAGTCTGCGCATGATCGTTTAAACCGTCGGGACCGCGGGATATTTGGTTTGGTGACGGGGTCGGAGTAATGTGTGTTAAACCGTTAACCAAAGGAGAACCTGTAAACTTCACTTGCTCATCCTCTGCGGATGTCACATCATCTTGAACCAAACGCTGCAAACGATCCATGATTGGTGGAGAAGACGGTTTGACTAGTTCCGGATTTGATGTTGCATCGGTATTTCGATTCAAAATATCGGCAAGTTTTAGGGAATCCGGACAAGCATTCTCCAGTTGAGCACGGACAGAGCGCATTTCATCCGTGGTGCGGCAGATGAGCTGAAGATGGATTTTGAACATTGCATAGAATCGTCAGAAAGCGTGATCAAAACAAATACAAACCATTGATTTATTGGAAACTGATTCAATCAGAGAAACAAAGTAGCGTTCTTCAAAAATGATAGACCAATGGCGGTTGCGACAGGCTATAGACATTTTGTTAATTAAAAGGAAAAGAAGGCAATGCCAATCGGATATCAATTTAGCACGAAACTGTTTGTCTAATGAAGATCGCAGTCACCATCAAACAAAAGGGAAAACGGAATGATGCAAATGTGTTCCATCTCAGAATAAACCGATCGACGCGCATCATCGATAGGTTTTAATTTATACAGCTGTTATCCATCCAGTTTAATGCGGCGGACATAGTTGCTGTCTCTTAGATGCCTATTTGGTTGAACAATGACGAAGGGAGAAGTGTTACACTGAGAGCAGTGCCCGGAGGAAGAAACGGTAAGTGGTTCAACTAAATTTACCAAATACTTTGTTATCCCCCCCCCACCTTTTGACACCGTACCCGTACAAATTATTACACATAAAAAATTGAGTAGATACACAAACCTAACTGTCTGTGAAACAAATAGTTCCGAGATGTTAGCCATCGATTGGAAGGGTCACTAGATCCCCAACGGGGACTCCTAACATGACCTATGTGACTGGGTTTTGTACTCAAGGTTTTGGTATTCTTAGTTTAGTCATTCTTTGACTTCAGTTATCCACAAACTGCATCAGAAACATCGCACAGTGAGAGAGCCTACCTGGTGACATGTGTACACACACCACATTCATCGTAGTCCATGGAGGTCGAGTGTTGGAAAAAGTGCGCCACTGCGACTGTCTATGACTTCTAAGCCTAACATCGACATCGCTTCACTGATTGCCACACCAGAGTAGCACAATGCGATGTAGACAGTTCATTTCCGTGAATCGGTTTTGTTTGTTGTCTTTTGGCTGCTCATTCGGATGAAGCAGTAGGCGAAAGACATGAAAGTAGAATCATAGAGAAAATGGAGAATTTCAGTGCACCAAGGATGCAAAGAAAATGAGATGCACGACCGCCGTTGCATACGCCACTCAGTCATACCATTGTCTCTAACCGCCGGTTACGATCCGGTTACGTCCCCAGCCAGGACGCCGAACGCGACGTCACCGAGTCCCTTGGTTAAGGTTCTCATACCCTTGTGCCAGGTATTACCGTGACCACCCTTGGTTTTGTTTTACCCACTACCTGCCTCGGCAAACATCGCGCACCGTGGCAACCTACTTGGTGACATCCGTAACACATGCCTCGACTAACGTAATCTATGGAGGTTGTCCATATGCTCCAATGGATGATCGTATTTACCTAAAACTCTGCGCCTAACCTCAGTACTGTTCGTCCGGTTGCCCCACCAGATTCGTGCAATGCTGCGTAGACAAGAAACACCTACAGTCTATCTTTATCGTGTTTCCTTAATAGACAAGTTTCTGCGCTGCATAGCAGAACTGGCCTAGCTGCTGCAGCGTATACTCGACCCTTCATGGACAAACAGATATCGCGGCTGCGCCAGAGATGTCTCCTGTCTCGCTTATGATGGCAGGCGGCTCTGCTGTCGTCCGGCTCACTACCACGCGGGATCTATTGAAGCTTTGTGTGGTCCGTCACTGCAAGTTTCAGGATCATGGTTACCGGTTTACTCACAGGATAAACATGACAATACAAACTCACGTACGCACTCACACTTAAACACGCACTCATTACTCTCACCAACATTCGTGGACTGAAACGCAATATTGATTTTGTACACCATTTTCTCAAGTCTTCTTCCCCGCTGGTCCTTTTCTGACCGAAACACAAATCTCCCCCTCGTCAGACCCCACCCATCTTTAAGTCCCCAACTACACTATCCATTTCTATTTTCTACCCAAAGCTGTTGTCTACGCGCTTATTCGGGTCCCAAATCTTGACTTTTCCAATCGTGAGTTTCAGTTGATGTGGCTGAAACTCTGGCTTCCTTTCTTTAATCATTACTTTTGTGTTCAATAGCGTTCTCCCAATAGTTGCGACTCTTCCATCTGTGATTTTCTATCTTCGAACATTGAACACTTGTTTGCAAACGACCCCAACTGCCATGTTACCATCTTGGGAGATTTCTCCCTGGAACAACTGCTGTTTCTGTTCGAATGTTTCCAATTTCACCGAGGTTGTTCATTAAGGTATGCATCTTTTATTCCACACCTTTCCAAACCCGACAAACCCGAATCCCCTGAGTGGTTTAACCATGCATGTGATTGTGCTGTACGCCTTAAACGCTCAGCCTTCCGCCGTTGGCGCCCCTCACCGCTTCCCACCATCGCTTCGTGCAAACTGCGAATAGATGCTCGACGACCATTCAGAGAACCAAAGGACGGTTCGTTCACCGTAAAGCCGAAAACTTGATCTCTCTTCCACCACCGGTAGCCGAACATTTTGGTCCCTTGCCAAAGCAATATCCCGTAATTTCTGCCCTACCAACTTCCCTCCTATTTGTAATTCCTCCGGCGATCTTGTATGTCAACCACACGAGAAAGCTAAGATTTTCGCTTCCCAGTTTGCCGTTAATTTCACCTAACCCAATTATCTTCCACCTTTACCTTTTTCCTTTTTCATTGGCAACCGTTTTCTACCTCATATTTGCACTAGGAAAATCCGTCCAATATTGCGCTCTTTAAATGCAAACAAACCACCGGACGGTATCCCATCCATCATCCCAAAAATGTGTGCTCCCGCGTTGGCTCTTATCTTCCGTCGTTTTTTTTCGATCTTTTCCTCCAACTTTCTTCTTTCCAACCCCCTGAAAACACGCCGTGCTTTTTCCCATTCCCAGACTCGGTGATCTTTCTGACCCCAACAACTACCGACACATTTCCCTCACATTTGTTCTTTCGAAAGTACTTGAACCTATCATCTCTGAACAGCTACGCACGTTCCTTGAACGTGAAGGACTTGTGAGTGACCGCCAATATGGCTTCCGACAGCGTCGTTCCATCGGTGACCTGCTGGCTGTTGTCTCAATCCTGGTCAGCTTCACTCGATAACCACGGAGAAACACACTTGGTCTCGCTTGACATCTCAAAGGCCTTTGACCGAGTTTGGCACGAAGGTCTGCTGGCGAAACTACCCATTTTCGGGTTCCCTCCGGCACATGTAGCATGGATATCAAGTTTCCTTAGTAAGCAAACCATCTCCGTCCGAGTTGATGGGGTTCTATCTCAGCCATTCTCTGTGAATGCTGGTGTTCCCCAAGGTGCAGTACTTGCGCCCACCCTCTTCTCTCTATTCATCAACGATCTCCTTCTTTCTTTTTTCATTATGAACCCCTTCTATTGAATACACAATGACACAACTTTCAGGAAGGGGGNCCCGATCCATTCTTTTGTCGATGACGCTACCCTACACTGCTCCCTCTCCTACCACACTACTCTCCATACCCAAACCAACATAGATGGTGACCGTAGTGTAGTTAAAGTGTCACTGGACACCGATCTCGAACACATCTCCTCCTGGGGCATTGCAAACCACCTTTCATTCAACAGTTCTGAAACCTCTCTTCTTTCAATTTCTTTAAAACACCATTCATTCTTCCTCCATTTATCTTTTAATTCCACTCAACTGCGTTTCAGACTGTTACTCTTCTTGGATTGCCTATGAATTCTTCCTCGTGCTGGTCCCCTTTATACCTAAGCTTGCTTCTCGTGCTGTGCAAGCTTGGTTTTCTATTTTGCGCCAGACGTTTTTTCACTCCAGTTCATCTTCTTCTACTGTGCAAAGCTCAAATCCCGTACTCTTGAATACTGTAGTCACGTGTGGGGTGGGGCCTCGTCTCCTTCTCTTCTTGATCGTGTTTAACGAAAGGCCATCCGGCTAATCGATAATCCTCTTCTAACGTCCAGTCTGCGAGCTGAGTAGGTTGTTCGTAACTAGTAGTGGTGTTCATCAAGGGTGCCCTATTTCGCCATTCCTGTTCAATTTCGTCATAGAAGAAATACTGAAGAACACACTAAGTGGTCTCCAAAACGCAGGTATTGAATGGACAGCTGGAGAAAAGCTGTGCGATTGAGAGTACGCTGAAGACATCGTTTGTTTGTTCGAATGTATGGAGGATACACAAAGAGCACTTGACAGATTAGCAAGTTCGGTCGCTCCGTTCGGCATGTGCTTTGCACCTTCAAAGTGCAAAATGATGCCACAAGACTGGGTGTCTTCGAGTCCCGTTCTGAGACTAGACGGTCAGGAATTAGCTGAAGTTGACTGCTTCTCGCACTTAGGTAGCTGCGTGACAAACGACTGTAGCGCATCTAAGGAGATAATCGCCTGCATTTCGAAGGCTCGAGCAGCGTACGCAGGACTGAAACACCTATGGCAACGTTGTGGAGTTGAAAAGTCGCGTATACTGCGGCACTGTACGATCAGTTCTGCTTTACGGTTGTAAGACCTTGAATTTACGGGTAGAAAACATCCATCGCCTAGTGGTTTTCGACAATCGATGCTTACGTGGTCTGGTTCAAGTGGGATGGAGTGAGAGGGTTAGTAACTTAGAAGTCGCCGTGTGTTTGGGAATGCCTCGAACAAGAACTCGCTATATCATCGAATTGAGCTCAATAGGCTTCGTTGGTTAGGGCACGATTTGCGTATGTCCGACGGTCGTTTACCACAGCGCGCCTTATTCGCAGTGGCTGTTAAAGGCTGGAGAAAGTCATGTGGAGGCCAGCAGATGACGTGGAGACGAGGTATGAAGAAATGCACAGAGCGATTGGGTAG